TACTAAGATTCAAATGTATTTACTAGCTCACAAATTTAATATGGGGGGAAATGTCTACCATTTTACACTCTGTTTGGTTCATTTTTATCTCCTATTAGTGTCTTAGGAAGTTTTCTTCATTGCTAGCTCCAAAAGCAGCATATGAAATATATCAGGCAAACTCTATTCACAACTAATAAAATGAGAAAAATCCAGTAATCTCAGCTGTTTTTAAAGTCATCGTAGCAAATCAACTATACAGAACACGAGGAGATAAAAGAAAAAGAAAGTGAGGAAAGATAAGTCCGTCTGAGAAGACAAATAATTAAATAGGAAATAGAGTTCTCTACTCATGCTTTCTAAAGGAGACTAGAAGGAGCTGATGTGATAGTTAGTAACCCTGGTATTGTAATTAACACACCAAGCTGTAAATGTCCTGAGCAGAGCTGGGTGTAGTTCAGTAGTAGAGCCTTGGCCTAGACTATGGGTCATGGATTCACTTCCCCTCAGTCCCCCCAAAAAAGTTCTGGGCAGTGAAATGTGAGCTGGCTAAGAGGTTTATGGAGCCCCAATACCATCTCTTGCACTCATGGAATCACAGATATCCTGTATGAGACTCAGCCCTTTATCATTCCATCATGGTGGAGACCGAGTTCATTAACCCCACCCTCCCCTGAGAAGCCATTGGCAGCTACTGGAGAAGGGGAGTCCTTTTCTTCAGTGAGGTAGCCACTAGTTAATCGCCCATGCTTCAGTAAACAACTCCCCACCCATGCTCCTGTAAACAATGCTAATTAAACTCAGTGGGTCCAACACACATGCACACAAGAGATTAAAGTAGCAGTCCTGCTGGTAAGAAGAGGGTTCAGCCGGGCGGTGGTGGCGCACGCCTTTAATCCCAGCACTCGGGAGGCAGAGCCAGGCGGATCTCTGTGAGTTCAAGGCCAGCCTGGGCTACCAAGTGAGTCCCAGGAAAGGCACAAAGCTACACAGAGAAACCCTGTCTCGAAAAACCAAAAAAAAAAAAAAAAAAAAGAAGAGGGTTCAGTAGCAGGGGAGGGGATGAGAGGGAGAGGGCAATGAGAGGGTGTGTATAATCTGATCAAAATACATTATATGCATGTATGAAGCTGTCAAAATTAAAATTTTAGATCCACTTAAAAAACAAGGAGATGTTCTGCCTTTTGCTGTAAAAACATTAACAATAAGCATATGTTATGAAGGTTAAAAAGAAAACAAAATAGAAACCCACCACCACCAAGTTTGATGATTAAAATCCACATAGATTTTAGAGTTGAAATCCAACTGTATAAAAAGGCTGCAGCAAATCCAGGGCCTTCGCTCTGTCAGCTAAGCATAGCTCACAGAATCGTGAGTCACAGCAGAGGTCAGGATTGTGTGTGTCTCCTCAATGAGTTCTTGTATAAATCAACTAACAACTCTGTGATTTATTTTAGAAAGAATACATAGTTGATTCAATAACCACCAGTATTAGATTAACCAGCATGCTACAGGAATTCAGAGGAAATAGCCCCTCATTCTCATTTGGGTAGAAATTATAGGCAGGAAATTATAGAACATTACCTCAGAGTGGCTTTTACATCCACCCCCCACCACTGCCAGCCTCTCTTCTGCACTACAAATCTTCCTCATATTCATGACTTTTTGTTTTGTTTTGGGTCCCACAGAACTTACCTAGGGCTCTCTGTGTGACCATGGGTTTGGAACCTCATGGGTTTAGAACCTCATGGGTTCACAGCTGGATACTATGCTACTCCATCTGCCAGGATCTGTTAGTAATTAATAGTTCAACAGTAAGTGGTGGAGCCTCATGAGCCCCCTTCCCATCCATAGCTGACAGCTGGGTGGGCCTGACTTCTGTAGGGCTGGTGTCAATAGGCACCATTACTCTGGGTTCATAATTGACAAGGCTATAAAGTGCTTGGAAGATGGCATTCACAGCCCTTCTTCCTAGCTTCCACCCCTTACCTTCTTTCGGCCTCTCTTCCACAATGTTCTCTGAGTCCTAAGGGAGTGCTATAAATGTCTCCTTTAGGGTTGAGCCCTCACCCATCCTTTATTTTCAATATCTGTGCATCCATGTTTCTCCACCTTCACCTCCATTCCCTTGCAAAGAAAGGCTTACTACCAAGGTCCAGCTATCAAAATATTAAAGTCTAGCAATCAAAAGCCTCCTTTGGCTCACCTAATTAGCATGCCCAATTAAAATTATACACGTCGTCCTAACATATGGTTTCCCATTGTGCAGGGTTCTCTTTCAGTTCTAAGATTAAGTAAGACCTTCCATTTTGGCGAAACCTTGTTAAGACACACAATTTTAGGGGAGATAAACAGTGGGATTTTTTTTTTCATTTTAAACAAGAATTTACTTTACAAGATGTTGACTTGAAGGAGAAAGTAGGATTCATTTTCTTTTCAAGAATTACCCCTTCTTAAAGAGAGATTGTCCTGCAATGTAACAGCTACACACAAAGAAATGTATAAATTCATCGTTGGTTTGACAGAGATAAATGAAAGACATAAAAATCCTCCAATTGAACAAAGTATGCAAGTAGTTTTGTGGTGTTGGGTTCTTCGGTCAAAATAATGATGGAAAAGTGACGTCCTGGAATATAGGTGAGAGCCAAGTGAGCATGCCACTAAGGTAGAAAGGGGGTGTTTTCACAGAACAGTGCCTTCTTCCAGATCATCTCCATTTGGTGTCAGCCAAAACAGAATTTTGGCCATTCAGGGTTTTTGTTTCATTTTTGGTTTTGTTTTTCAGTGTAACGTGCTGTGCACATACACCAGTTACTTTATGTCCAGTCAAGGGATGGAAGAACAGGGTAGGACCCAAACTGCAGCTTTCTAATTGAGAATGTATTCATGATCTGTAACAAAATTCTGGAGTAGCGTAGCAGGCTCCCTGTCTAGTAGGCACTTCCTGTCTGTCCCTAGAACACATCTGTCATATCTGCATCCTCTGCTTCCAGCTGTGCAGGTGTGTCTCTTTCACTGATTGGTTGCCCATCAAGCTGGAATCCAATCTGCCTCACAGACAAACCCTGTGCTTCACAACAGGCTTTTACTGGTTCACTAACCATCTGCCTCTTGACTTCAAAAAGCACCACAGAACCATCGCCCGCCACCTTCACAGGTATATGATTGCTGTTCTCGGTCTCGGCTCCTTCCTTGGGTTAAGACAGGATGTTAAAGGGGAGATAACGGGGAAGCTCATCTAAGACACAGGATGTTTACAGGTGAAAAAACAGGCTGTTCTAAAGTGTGTGTGTGTGTGTGTGTGTGTGTGTGTGTGTGTGTGTGTGTGTGTGTGTAAAACATTCCAGTCTGCAGGCAAGCTCTGGAGGTAGACAATTCAATGGCTCCAGGAAGTCCCTAAAACTGACCAGATTCAATAGACCCCTCCCTTCCCCAAAATACAGAAATAAGGAGGACTGCTGAGAGACACTTTCAGACAAGCTGAACTGCCTGGAAGAAGCTCAGACTTAGTTCTTTGGTCTGAGCTTTCTAACCCATTCAGTCGCCTGCAGGTTGGTCAGTGCAGTTCAGGTTTCTAGGTGTCATGATCTGCCACCTATGTTGAGGTGGACTCTGGTGATTCAGTTGTCGTTTCTGCTCCTGTAAATAACCCTTCACTCTTATTGCTGTAATTAACCCAACAAAAACAAACTGGCTAGCATGTTGAACTTTGGTGGTATAGTTACTTTGGTCTGTGATCAGTTCTCTATCTGAGGTGGGTAGCCATTGGTTCACATCACCCCAGGAACAGTGCCACACAACAAGGTACAGGTGGCTGGGATGCTTCTGGTATAATGTCTTGACAAACAAGGCAGTATCTTAACTGAAAGTACAAAGTCAGCTAACTGCACAATAAACAGAATAAATAAAAAGAAAAGGCAGGAAAGACTTGTATACGAGGATACTGAGACGGCACCGGGAAACCAGGCAAACATTCACAACACAAGTGAACTAGGCAAGGACTAAGTTCCAGGCAGGACAGTAGTCTTTGAAAAGTCAATAGTAACTATGGGTCCTCCCCCACAAATTGCACCTATCTGTAAGTCTGTGACTCCCTAAAACATAGCCATAGGCCACCATGGGTCAATAGATGATAATCCTAATTAAGGAGAAAAAAATCCAAGTTAAGAAATATTTCAGTCTGTGACAATCACTTCATCCCCAACACCATGCCTGCTGTGGTTTGAATGTGTCCCCTCCCAAATTTAGGTATTGCCAAGGTGACAGAATTGAGAGATGGGCCTCAGAGGTCATTAGGCCATGATATCAACTCCTTCCTGAGTAGGACTGGTATCCTTATGAAGGTGTCACACAGCTTTATGACTAGCCAGATCTTCTGTCCTCCACCAGGTGAGGACACAGGAAACATCTCCTCACCACATACCAAATGCTAGCACCTTGGTAGCAGACTTTGCTGACTTCAGATCTGTAACACATCATGAGTTTCCCCACTCTTAGCTACTCTGTTACAGTAGCAATAAACAGGCTAAGACAATGCTCCAAATATTAATTAGCACAAACATGTAATTAAATATCCCCAAGTTAGCCTAGAAAACATTCAATCTAAAAACCTCTTATTTGAAGCTTGTCAGTATTTGTATAAAGTTTACAAGATAATCAGAAGGAAGGCTATTTAGATACAGGTAATTCAATTTTTTTAAAAATGAAATCAGCAAACATCACATCCAAACAATCTTAGCTATTGTCCATCTGGCTTCTGTACAATTTTATCATTAAGCATCTTTCCTCTAAATAATTCAGTGAAGAATTATTAATGGCCCTTGCTTCTCTACCAAATACCTCTTTGCCGTTCTGTACTATAGAATCCAGAAATCGTTGAGGATAATTCAGTCTGTGTGGTTTTGCTTGATCAGATATGTCTCTGAGAAGGAAATGGTAAGGAAAGGAGGCGGGTCTTAGTTACATCTAAATATGAACAGCTCTTGATGCACCGAGAGAGACCATACTTTGTAACAGTGCAACACAGGAACCTCACCTGGAATCTGTCCCATTTCTAAACACTTTCCAACCCTGCTAGTGAGAAAGGCCACAAAAACCAATCCAAAAGCACTGAGTTTAAAGCCAGTCCGGAGAAGTCCCTCTGCTTGGATTATTTTCCCAGTTACCACTCATCGGAAAACAGGCTTACCAACACACGCTCCCGGAATCCCAGCCAAGAGCAAGCAGCATTGTGGAATCTGGACAGCAGGGTGGAAGGGTGGCCAGGGCATCAGCAGATGGAAACATGAGGGGACTGCTGGGCAGCAGCTGGAGGAAGTTTGGCCATGCTGGCCGGGGGACGTACGAGTGGCTAACCAGTGAACCAAGCCTACCACTTCTGGAGACCCAGCTGCAGGTCTGTATCTATGGATTCAGCCATTCCTTCCCCCAAAGTACGTTTCTTAGATCTTTAATCCAACGTCGCCTGTGTTTTCAGGTTTTAAAACTTAGCGTGGCCACATGGAGTATTAAATTGATATAATAAAAATATGAGTTCTCTGATTAGCAGTCTGTAAGAAGCAATGTGGGGGGGGGGCTTAGCAATCACCAATGTATCATAGGAATATTTGTTCTATCACTTATAGATTGAGAGTTTGGGGAGGGCTTGGCAATCACCAATGTATCATAGGAATATTTGTTCCATCAATTATAGATTGAGAGTTTGGGGAGGGCTTGGCAATCACCAATGTATCATAGGAATATTTGTTCCATCAATTATAGATTGAGAGTTTGGGGAGGGCTTGGCAATCACAAGTGTATCATAGGAATATTTGTTCTATCAATTATAGATCGAAGAACACCTGAGTCTAGGAACCAAGAGCTTTTTGATGTGTTTTAGATGTGTTCTTTGCTCCGTGTGCAATGTCTAGACACTATAAACGAACTAAGAGGTTAGGCTGTTGTTCCTGACTGTGTGGTGAGCGTGTGTCTAACAGTCCGCAGAAACCGCTGCTAATCTTCAGGAAGGAGGGCAGGGGATTAAGGAGTTTTCTCTTTTCCTAAGAAATATAGCAGCTGCTTGGAGTTGTCTGGCAAATCACCAAGACAGTGTCAGTCTGAGCAACATTAAAGAAAAAAATTATAGAAAGCTAAGAACAAAGATGTTACAATCAGAGCCTAAATAAATGGCATGCTGACCACACAAGAAAGGGAAATAAACTTATTTTCTCATTTTCTAGAGAGCTGGAGAGATTGGTGTTTAAAATCTCCTAAACCTGAATTTATAGAAAAGCATACTGGTATATAGAAAGATAGATCCTTCACGTGTTATACCTTAATCTCAGTATTTTTCTAAAATGTCCCTAAGTAAACACAAACCTCAGAAAATTTTTAGAAGTTAAGCAGCAAGTTGGAGTACAGGAAAGGATTTTAGAGCTGTTGAGCAGGAATAATAACTTTTCTGTATTAAGGGCACACAACAATTTCAATAATCATAACATGAATAATCAAATACAGAAATTAAGAATGCTATAATGCATTTGCCCTACAACTCTGAAATTTTCTTAAGTGGAAAAATAGAGTACTTTGTCTCAAGAGATTGTAGTACTCTGCATGTTAAATAATAAAACAAAACAAAAACACTTCTAATACTATTTAGTGTTTGGACAAAAGTAATCAACCAACAATAATAATGATTTCATTTAAGAATGTATTATTTTTCCTTTCCCAGTTTTTTGAAACTCATATTGATAATATTAAATGTGGCATCATTGTACACAACAGCATCTGTTACATAAAATCTTTTAAATAGAATGTTAAGTATCTTTGTATCCAGTGCATATTAAATTTATCAGGTGTAATAGAGAATTTAAAATTTGATGACCACAGTAGACCAGAAACCATTATCATCTGTTATTGATATAGAATAAATTTTAAAACACATTGCAAAAAATGATCTGTGTTGTTTGGAGTGATGGTTATTTTAAAGGTGATGGTAGCTTTAGCACATTAATGATTAAACTAGAAAGAGGAAACCAGTTAGAGTTAACTTTCCTTTTTACTCAAATTTGATTTGTTATTTCAATGGATTCCTTTATAGTTTGATGAATCTTTATACTTTTATAATCAACGGCCTATGTTATGTCACAATAGATTATAAGTATATTATTCTGATATTAACTAGATTATATAGAAGAAACAAAAGAAATCTCTAGTTTAAAAAAACAGCAGCCACACACAAAATATATTACTTTTTTTTTCTGAATATATACATATATACATAATAAACATGAATTTAGTAATGCTAGGTTTTATGCTTATCATATTTTCTAGCCTTATCAATACAATTTCTAGGTTTCTCCTGGTTGTCTTTAGTATTTTATTTATTTATTTATTTATTTGGGGTTTTTTTTTGTTTTGTTTCGTTTTTTGGTTTTTTTTGTTTTGTTTTTTGAGACAGGGTTTCTCTGTGTAACAGCCTTGGCTGTCCTGGAACTCACTCTGTAGACCACGCTGGCCTCAAACTCACCTGCCTCTGCCTCTCAAGTGCTGGGATTAAAGGTGTGCATCACCACCACCCAGCTGTCTTCAGTATTTTACTGTTAGTAAATTTGAGTCCCCTGAAACATGAAGATAAAGACTCACCATTCACTGAGATCTTTATGCACAGTAATTCACTTTGTTCCTTTGCTAATCCTCAAAATCAGACACCATTATTTCCATTACCAAGAGGAGAAAACTCATGTCCAGAGATGGTAAGTGTTCTCCCTGGTCACAAAAGAGATAGCTGTCCAGCCCAAAGATCACAGTTGCTCTGCTCCTTAAGAAGGCCTTTGGTTTTGAGGCTGCTTGAGCTAAAAGAGCTGAATTCATACATTACCAAGAATAAAATATCTGGCAGTATAAGCACAGAATCAACCATCTCATTTTGAGCCAGAAAACACACATTGTAAAGTCTTTAGGGAATAAGAAAAGATTATCCACACAAAGCAAGATGAGCCCGTTGTCCTGCCCATCAAAATCAGACAGAACTCTAAAAGTAAAAGTGAGAAGGGAGAGCATCAACTCTCACGATAGTGCCTTTGCCTTCTATTCTCACACAATGAGCTTGCTATTTCTTTTTTTAAAAAAACCATTTTTTAAAAAGATTTATTTATTATGTATACAGTGCTGTTTATGGGTAGCCCTACAGGCCAGAAGAGGGCGCCAGATCTCATTACAGATGGCTGTGAGCCACCCTGTGGTTGCTGGGAATTGAACTCAGGACCTCTGGAAGAGCAGCCAGTGCCCTTAACCTCTGAGCCATCTCTCCAGCTGGAGCTTGCTATCTCATTTGTTTCTTTTTTCTTTCTCTTTCTCTCTTTCCTCCTTTCTTTATTTTTAAAGATTTGTTTATTTATTATGTATACAGTGTTCTGTCTGCACACTGGAAGAAGGCATCAGATCTAATTACAGATGGTCGTGAGCCGCCAAATGGTTGCTGGGAATTGCACTCAGGACCTCTGGAAGAGCAGACAATGCTCTTAACCTCTGAGCCATCTCTCCAGTCCTCTTTTTTATTATTATTATTATTATTATTATTATTATTATTATTATTATTACTATTTTTAAACACATTCTTCACCTTTAAGATATTTTCTTTCCCATGGTTGCAGATATTTGCATTTTTACTTTGTGCTTTATTTATTTAATACAGAAACTTTGAAATACATCCTTAGTGACTGATCTTAAAACAATATACATGCAATTACAGCAGTATTTTAGGCTGCATTTCAACTCTTCCATTCATGATATTATTTACTCCATCAGGAACCATTATTTTTTTCTTTTTAGCTAACACTACAAAATTAAGATCTTTTAGGTTATATAGAAATTTACATGTAATTTGCGTGTATGTTTTGACTCATGTACCCCAGGCTGATCTCAAACTCGCTATGTAGCCAAGGCTAGACTCATGCTTTCACCCCTTCCCCTCCCCTAGTACTGGGATTACAGGTTTGAGTCACCGTGTTGGATTATGTGTGAATTCCTTTTTCTTAAAATTTCAGAAACTTTCAGGTCACAGGTGTGTACCTGTGATCCCAGCACCCAGGAGTCACAGGCAAAGAGATCCAAGCCAGCCAGGGTTACATAGTAAGACTGTCTCAGCATCTCCTATAAAAATAAATATCTAGATCAATAAATTTTCAATTCTATATTTGTCATACCAATATTACATAATCAGGCTTAATTATAACTCTAAGTGCAGCTATCAAATCTGAACTCATCAATTATTCACATGTGATATGAACTTATAACCATGTGAAATTTTGTTCCAGAATTAAAGATGAACATTATGTGAGTCTTCTGTGCCAGCAAAAACACTGTTGACCTAATATTAAACAAAGTAAGTAGATAAATGATAAGGGTTCCCAGTGAAAAGAATAAGAGGTATATTACTCTTAGAATACCAATGTAAAGGTATTCTAACATTTTAACTTCAATATCACTGTGTGCTTGGACATTCTGAATGCACACTTTGGGGTGTCATTCACATTATTTCACCTAAGGGTCCATGAGCAACACTTGCAAAGCCCACCTTCCCTCATGTTTGAACTCCTCTTATTCCTTACTCCAGGGCACCCAGCAGCTGAGTTCCACCCAGGCGGATGTGGAGCCTTTCCTGTGCATCCTGCTTCCGGCCACCATCATGCTCTTCTTGGCCTTCCTGCTGCTCTTCCTGTACAGACGCTGCCAGGCCCCACGGCCCCAAGGCCAGGTGTTCAGCATCGACCTCCCAGAGTCCCCTTCTGGAGAGGTAACTGACTTCTTGCCCAGCCTACCTTGGGGCAGCGAGCAGAGTGTCCCCTACTCTCCACTGCCGGTCTTTGGGACCCTGCACTTGACCTGCCTGCCACCCTCCTATGAAGAAGCCATGGGGAACCCTCCTGGGATAGACGTCCTGGACACAGAACCTCAGAATGGAGAAGAGTCACCCTGACCAGAGGACTAAAAACTAACTCTCTGGAAACCCTTAAAAAAAAATGTTCCCGACTCTCACAAACAGAACTGGGAAAGAGAGGCCATCCAGACCCAAGGAGATGAGACTCACTGCCGCCCTACCCTAGGCTACTTTCCAAGTATCAGATTTACCTACTTCCCAGTTCATTAGGGAAGAGATTCCCCCAAGTCCTTAGATATAACTGAGCTCCCCTAAATCAGTAACACCCCTCAGAAATGTGGGAAAGTTGTGTGCTGAGAAAAGAAATGAATAGTCGGATGACTGATTTAACTAAACGACTGATTTATAGCTTAGGAATCGGTTCTGAAGGGTCAGAAAAAAGGCTGGACCAGCTAAAGGCCATTGCTTTTCCCTCCACGTGAAATTTGTTTTCCTAAATCAATTTTGCAGGGTCTTTTAGCTTTTACTTTTGTGACCATTTCAAGAAACATTGAGAGTTCAAGAAGAATAGAAGACATCCCTAGAGCTTTGGGAAAAATTGTACTGTAAATAGTCATGGTCTATGTTTCAGTATAAGTAGAAATAGAGGTTTGCAAATATTTTAGTTAAAAAAAATGACCCTTTCTAGTATTTCCTTTTTGTATGGCTCTCATAGTTGCCCTCTGGTTCAGTTTCTGGAGCGGGGATGGAATTTGTCCGGGTTCCATGGGAATGTCTCCCAGGGCACAAGTGCTATGCCGACGTGCTGGTTACTATGATCTTGCATTGTCTCACTGTTTTTCGTGCCATGTCATTTTCACACACTATAGCACGACTGTATTGCACTGGAACACCATCATTGACTCTGCTGTCGTCTTCACCATTGGAAATAAAGGTCAAAAAATTGGGGTCACATGGTTAAACGGAACAGATTTGCCTCTAACAGAAACCTCGTAAACCACAAAACCCCAACCCCGGCTTTATAGATATCAAAACTAGAGCTAAGTCACGTGGTCACTGTAATAGCCCTGTAAAGGCAGAACTATGACCAGAAGCCTGGCCTCTATGTCCTGAGAAGGAGTGCCTTCTGTAACAAGAGATGTTTTCCCACAAATATCATTCAAGTGGGACTTCAGCCCATACTCCTCATGGGTTTGGGGGCTCTCACTGCAGGCCAGCTTGGGGTTAATAACAGTCTGCCTTGATGTTTTTCAAATGGGGAAGTAGTGTTCGCACTTGGGAGGTGGGTCACAACAGCCATGGAGATAACAAAGTAGACTGCGTGTGTGCGTGTGTGTGTGTGTGTGTGTGTGTGTGTGTGTGTGTGTGTGTGACAGAATTATTAAAATATTGCTAATATACTTTATTAAAAACAACTTTTGTTGTTTTTACAATATAAATTAGACAATGCTTTGATGAGTCCAGATGATCAAAACAGTGTAGCTTTTGTCTTTTTTATATTTTTATGGCATTTTGCAGTGTTACAGATTTTAGGAAAACAACCAAGTAGGCAAAAATAGGGTACTTTGCTTTTAAAATGTAATCTGATAGGAATAATGGTTTTAGCTCTGAAAACTAAAACAAATATAACCTATGAAAGTGGAAAATCAATAGAATTGCTTTTAGGGAAATATCTTGTAATAAAAATTCTCTAAGGGTCTTCGAAGGAAATAAATGACCAAGCGCTATGAGGATCTAAGCACACAGCCTTCCACAGAGTGCTCTGACCTAAGAATCTAGCTGTGTGGGGGGTAGCTGATTCTTTCCCCTTTTCCCTTCTTACTTCCTTTTTTTGTCATCAGAACCCTGATTTGGTTCTGGGATCTTGAAACCACCCTATGAAGACAGGCACATTTCAAACACAGAGAAGAAGAGCATCACAATCATCACATGGTTTCAGTTCCATCACCAGAGACTGATCTGGTCTCCGGACTTAAGGGAAGATCTGTAAGGGAAAGGGGCTTCTCCTAGAAAAGTTTGCCTTTAAAAACAAACACACGGGGCCAAGGAGAGTTTTGCCAGGCAAACAAAAGGACCTTGAGTTTGATCGCCAATAACACACATTAAAAAGTCCATTATTCAGTACTCTACCAGCACTGGAGAAGCAGAGACAAGGGGATCTCTGAGGCTTGCTGGCAGATAGTATACTCAAACTGGTGAGGTCTGGTTTCAGTGAGAGATTCTGTATCAAAAAAAATTTTTTAATTATAATGTACAGAGCAATTAAAGAAGACACCCAGTGTTAAACTTCAGCCTTGACATGCATGTAAACACACAGGTACCCACGCATGTGTACACACATTAAAAAAAAATCCAATACAAAAGCACAAAAAACATGAAGTATTCTTTGTTGGATGTCATATCTGCATGAGATGTCTGGGGCTTCTACAGCTGTCTGTAGTCATGAGGCAAGGCATCATTCACTGACTGATAGCGAGAGTAACAGAACAGAAAAATAAACATGGGCACTAATGGCTGAGGAGAGCAGCATGAATGTAACTAAGCCTGCATTCACTCTTTCATGTGATTTTAAACCATTTAGGCCTGACTTGCTACACATAGACCAAATAAGACAACAGCTACAGTTTCTAAAGACAAGCATTGCTACATTTTAAAATGTTTTGATAGCCAGGCGGTGGTGGCACACGCCTTTTTTTTTTTTTTTTTTTTTTTTTTTTGGTTTTTCGAGACAGGGTTTCTCTGTGTAGCTTTGCGCCTTTCCTGGAACTCACTTGGTAGTCCAGGCTGGCCTCGAACTCACAGAGATCCGCCTGGCTCTGCCTCCCGAGTGCTGGGATTAAAGGCATGCGCCACCACCGCCCGGCGGCACACGCCTTTTATCCCAGCGCTCTGGAGGCAGAGGCAGGCAGATCTCTGTGAGTTCGAGGCCAGCATGTGAGTTCGAGGCCAGCATGGTCTCCAAAGCGAGTTCCAGGAAAGGTGCAAAGCTACACAGAGAAACCCTGTCTCGAAAAAAAAAAAAAGTTTTGATGACATTTACTGTTAAGCCCTGAAGAGATGGCTCAGCAGTTCAGAGTTCTTCCAGGGGAGCAGGGTTCAAGTCCCAGCACTGATAGCTCATAACGGTCAGTAATTCTGGTTCCGGGGGATCCAATGCCCACTTCTGGCTTCCATGAGCACTAGGCACACAGATGGTACACTACCATGCATGCAGGAAAAGCATCCAAGCCCATAAAATAATTTTTAAAAATTACTAAGACTTATTTCCAATGCTATTGCAATCTAGGGAACGAAGTACTTTATGCTACCAAACTGAAACAGGAACACAGATACAAACTATAAGGCTGGACTTGGCAAATCCTACCTGTCACTTGTTTTCATACCTCCAAGGACACAAGGGTGTTTTTCAATAGCTGAGAAACATAAATAGAACATTTTCTGGCATATGACAATTACATGAATTCAAACTTCAGAGTCTAGAAGTGGAGTGTCACTGAACACAGACAACCCTCCCTGCCTATGGCTATTTTTGTTCTCCAAGGGAAGGGTGGGGGGTGTCTCTGTAGGTGTCAGGCAGGGAAGTGAACGGCGCAAGGAGACGGGAATGGAAATTCAGTTCAGATAGACTTCGTCAACCTGCATCAAGACTTCTAAAAAGTGTGAAACCAGGTGATTCATTGTCAGCATATTTATAACATAGTCCAACTTGGGAAAAGTTTCCTGGTGTAGTTCAATCCCCAGAGCACAAGAAAGCTTAATTACATTGACACTCGACTCAGGATACATGTCATTTCTTCCAAGAAGATGGGTTTGACAGACAGGCTACCTGTACTAGCTTACAGGCCTAAGGAAGGCCTGGTCTCGGTAATACAGATAGCCTAGAGGTCATTTGGACTATTAGCCACCTTTGGTCCTGGTTGTGGGAGCTTGGGGCAGCCTCTGGCTATAAGGGTCATTTAGACTATTAGGGATCTCTAGCCCTGATTTTAGGAGACTAGGGAGCCCCTGGCTGTAAGGGTCATTTAGATTACTAGCCACCTCTGGTCCTGGCTGTAGGAACTGGATATGGCTTATCCCAACATATAACGCAGAGCACCAGGCTATTAATCAATTCCTAGCTTTCTAGATGGAAGAACAGGGTTTGTTTTTCCACATCTTTCTCATTGGAAAGACAATCCTGCATGCTTAACTTTCCTGGTTTCTCTGGAGACCTGTGGCTCAAGGACCTTCGTACTACGGTCCCAAAATCCAAAGTCAAAGAAACTATGACAACCTTCAAATCTATCATTTTCTGTCTGGTTTTTCTCAGAAAACATTCACTGGTCCTAATAACAGACCAAGTATATTAGTTGCTTTCCTGTTGTTGTGATAAGATACTATGACCAAAGCAGCTTATGAAAGAAAGAATTTATTGGGGCTTATGGTTCCAGAGCGATAAGGGTCCATCCCAGGAGGGAAACAGTAGCAAGTGGCAGCCATGGCAGCCAGAGGCTAAGAGCTCACATCCTCGAGTGAAACCAGGAAGCAGAGAGAGATCGGGAAATGGGGTAAGGCTATCTAAACTCAAAGCCCACCCCCAGTGACGTACTTCCTCCAGCAAGGCCTCAACCCCTGAACCTCCCCGCAAATAGCACCACCAGCAGAGGAAGCATTCAAATCCTGGAGCCTATGGTGGAATTTTCTCATTCAAATCACCAAACCAAGGAATTTCAAGCCCGACTACATAGCAAAAATCATTTGATGTACTTTAAGAAACAGAGAAACCAAGGACTCACCCAGACTGGTCAAAGAGAAAAAAAGCCAGAGTTGTAATAGGAAATTAAGGTTGAGAGTTGTTATTATGCCAGATAATGTAAGTGGGCCACGAAATACAGGTGAGTTTCACTGTGGACACAAGTAAGACAACGTGTTTATAGAACACTAGATTTTCAACTACAGCTGTGAGCTGTCCCATATTACCCAACATTCTTTGTAAATGCCTATTGCACATCTGTAGCCAACTCAGTTTATAAGGCAAGGTTAGCAGCAGGCAGGGTCGCCCGTTGGTTGGATTAAGGTTCTTTTACTCTTCCTGTATAGAAATTGTGAGTGGGCAGAAAGCCCCGCAAACGCTGGTCTCTAACACCTTTCCTTTCCTTCTGTGTTTGCCAGCAGCAAGTGTCAGCAGTGGCCAGAGAGAAGCAGATCTTCTCATGTTATACAGAGTAAATATGGTGGACTTCGCCTTGCCAGTGTTACAGTCTCTATATGGGCCTCGGATGTTGGGGCTTCTGGCCCTTAGCAGTGGACAACTGCTACAACTCTAAGCCTAGAGTCTGAGTCCCTTGACGCTGAAGACTAGACAGTTCCCTGGAACCTTTTGTGGTGACCAGGACCTGCAGATTCTCCTCTCTGGCTCCTTGAAAACTTCAATCTGCTCCCTGTCTCTGCTCCTTCTCCACTCCCCTCTCTCTCTTTATTCTTTTTTTTTCTCATTTCAATTTCCCTTCTTCCTGCCCTGCACACTCATGAACTATCAATGGCTACTGCCAGGATTCAGGATACCTGCCTAAGTTGGGACAGCATTTGGGGGTCAAGACACAGTTGGTCACTACTGCTGCTTGGAAGCTAGGACACCTAGAGGACTTTCTTGAGGAACTGAACAGTAGGCCAGCCAGAACCATGAAGGTGTAGGCATCTGGGGGATGGGAGGGCAGGAGTCCTTCAAGTAAGACCAGTAGGCAGTCTTAAACCATTAGGCCATGCTGGGGCTGCAGGGAAAATTCAGGTCTGCGGGTATTGCTAGCAGGCAGGCCTAAGGCCTCTAGTAATGGTCACTTCTTTAGCTATCAGGTGGAAGTTGCCAGGATTTTGTGCTGGGAAGCTGAGCCCAGAGCTTGGGACCCAGCTGTCAGTCACAAGCAAGGCTGCTCAGGAACCCAGCACCAGAGATTAGAAACTAGTACCAAATCTCAGCCGGGCGGTGGT